ATAAACATAAATTAAATTGATATAATATACCAGAATAATCCATTTCAAAATCCTGAATAAATCAAATTTTATTAATTTATTAAAATTAATGTTAACCGTAATAAGATGATCAACCTCTGAAGTTGACGGACCATGTTCTGAATTTTTCGGATCAGTCGAGTAGCAATTTGATGTTAAATATATCAAAATAAATGGTAGAATTTGGTATATATTCATCTTTAATAAAAATTAATTTCGACAATTTAGAAAAGAATTGATTATTTTAGGTTTTCTGTTATTTACAGTAAACATAAAATAATATTAGAAAATATTCAGATGAGTTGAGAAATCAAAAATAAACATATGTATATGATAAACAGAACAACTTACAGGTGCTTTACCGACCAAGCTACCGGGGCTTATCTCCTCATTACGACTAGGAGTGTCTGCGTTGTCGATTTCCGTTCGCCATTACTAGATATGCATGTCTTTTAGGTGCTTAATTTTTGGGAAAATCTTATCTCACGAGTTTCGACCCTGGATTAAATAATATACTGTAGAATGTTGACAAACAATTTAAACAAAATTAGATAATCCTAATCGGTACTAAAACGGCAACAAATTTTTTCGGCAGTTAAATATTTGATATAGTAAAATTCAGATAAGTTAACTAAAAAGTTTTGTTCCCCAGCCATGATGGTTAATTGAAAAGTTACAATTTTATTTTACAATACAATTTCTGCGTTACCGGATGATTTCCTCTCTTATGAAGGAAATTTTCTATTAACATAGATATGTTCAGGCGTGTGGCTCAGATTAATTTAAAATTTTTATAGAAATTTATAAATTAAAAAAAACTTAAAATATTATTATTTAATTTAATTACTCTTAATTTAACTAATAATTAAATAATTTTTTTTTATTTAACTAATTAAATCAATTTAAAAATCTATCTATTCAACGTCGCATATATTTTCTCGTGAATGCCCTTTTTACCTTTTTAAAGGCAGTAAGAGGGGGGGGGGGTCTCTCGGGCATCGCGCGTGTCAAAAAGAGGGATGAATAAAAGCAAAAGGGAGACTTTATCTTTCTATCTTAGTGAAGAGAAAAAGTTTTCCCTTTAAATCCTAATCAACTATTCCATTAAAAAATTTTATTTTCTATTATTCAATTTCAAACAAACAAACGAGGCCCCACAATTCCAGATACAAATAATATATAACTTCGACACTTAAATTTTCGAGGCCAAAAAGAAATGTCAAACCTAATGTTAGTGATATGTGCAATTAATCGAATAATTTCAATTATATTTTTTATCATTAAAGAGAAATACAAACGACGTCTAACGCCACAATTAGGTTCTATTTCTAAGACATATATCGGGCAATTCAATACAAAATGCCTAATTATTCTGGGCAAATATAAGTCTACCAACGTGGACGGGGGGTATGTTTAAATAATAAAATTTTCAAATGGAAAAAATTTTCTAAAGTAAATGTTTAAACGGAAATAATAAAAAAATATTTGAATGTAAATATTTAACCAATCCTGCACAAATGCACTTTATTGGTGCCTCGAGTTGGATTAGTTCAGGACAGCACAAACACACACACACACCAATATGATTTTTCAATTTTCAGGAGTTTATATCTCAGTCAAATCAAGACGGATTTTTTTTGATTTTGGCGTCTTTCGTCACAGCTCGACGAGTTCTATAACCTAAGAATGACTGACCATTTTTTAATATTTTGAAGATGGGAAAATGAGGGGGAACGAACTTGAATTTTACCGAAAAGGTTAGTTTGGAAAATGCCCTAATACATCATGTGTGGCTTCAATGCTCTATTTATACATTGTTGCCACAAACAAAGACAACAATCATAAACAAATAATTTACAAAATAAAAAAGTGCATTTATATAAATCAACATTGCGAAGAAATAAAACTTTTGAAAATTTTCTGGAAATATATTTATTTTATAATTTAAATTCCTTTTTCTTATACATTAAATGAGAATAATATTTCTAATAAATAAATCTGGACTTTCGACAAGTTTTCACATTTCTAACAACTGTCTCAATCTCTCTTCGTTTCTAAAATAAAAAAAATTATAAGCGAATACATAAGCGCATTGACTAAAAAGCCCCCTAGTCACGTTTTTCCTTTCTTTTATTAATTCTATTGTTTTAAGGTTAGGATAGGTTAAGGTTACTCTAGGGCAAACCGCGTGAAGAGCAGTAATCAACGACTCCTATAGGTTAGCCTAGCTTATTTTTGGTGTCATTCTATTCAGTTCGTCAGCTGCCGATCTGAATAGAATAGTGCTGCTATAGATCTTCGATAAAAGAGTTTCCCAATGAAAAAGCAGCTGAACTGAGTAGAGTTCGTCAATCTAAGCTTAATACAATTACGGAATCTCTGGTCTCGGCAGTGATTGACTTGTCATAGGAACGTAAAGCTCAAAAGTGACCGTGGCCCCGAATTTTTATTTAAAAATATGTTGAAAACAAACTTCCATATTCCGCAATTTGGGCTTTCAATATATCATGTTCTTTAGGATGGCTTTCTCTTAAATGTTTCCATAAATTTGACGTTTTGCCCATCGATTTAATAATCTTACTAGAACAACGTTGATTTTTGTAATGATATTTACAATGATATTTCTCAATTCCATTTACATTAATCTTTTCGAAAGCATCATCAATACTAGGACTGGAACAAAAATTATGTTATACATAATTTTGTTTTTTAATTAATTTTCGTTCGATTCATGCTCAACTTGATCCATAAATCGAGTTGGACATTTGCAACCCATTATTTTATAAAATTGTCTAATTGTAAAAGCATACCCCTGTACATTTGAGGAATTCACAATTATTGAAGAAGGTTCACCGTATTTATTTTTCTGTATTTTATTTGCTAACATATGATGGCTTTCATCATCTTGATGAGGAAAAGTATTTGTTGAGGAGAGTTTTCTTTTTCGGTTTTGTTGGATTTTACTCTCAACCATATGTGATTGATAATTTAAATCTTTTGAGGGCACTTGGCACTCTACATTTTCTGAACATGAAACAGAACTTTCATGTTCAGCTCTACCTCCATCTAAATTTATATTTTTAAAGTTAAAAATAAGGATTAGATTATTCACCAGCAATTTCTCTTTCAATATCCTTAATAAATCGAAATTTAAATTTTTATAGAATAATGCTAACCATAAAAAATCGTTCAATATCTGAATTCGATGGACTATGTATTGAAGTTGACGGACCAGTCGAGTAACAGTTTGTTGTTAAATATATCAAAATAAATGTTAGAATTTTGTAAACTTTCATCTGTAATAATTTTATTTTAGATAATTTACCTAAATATGATTGCAACATATGAAATGTTTCATTTTAGGTCTATTTCTGACAAGAACTTGATTTTAATCATGGTTAAGTTCAAATCGCCATCATTGTTTACATGAACAACTCATTTTGTTTATGTTTCAATTTTAACTTGTCTATATTTTAGAAAATTCGCCCTTTGCGTCAGGAAATAGTTTTACATCCTTTGTAAAACACTTTGGCCAAAATTTTAGATTTCTTAATCAACACTAAAAGGGCAATTTAAAATAATTTTTTAAAATAATTTTTAAAATTTTATTGACTGCCATGTATGAGTGGAATAAATATTGTTTTTAAAAGTGCATCCTTGACTGGGGCGATGTGACAACGGAAACTTGTAAATTTAATTATTGTGAAATACAATTAATGTATAAAATAATGAATTAGAGTCTAGATGAAAACCGGACTTTTGAAAATATCTAACATATATTTTTCTGTAATAAACATAAAAATTTGTATCTAAAATATTATATTTCAGCATGTATCAGAAGTGACGTCTATTTCTATGCAATAACTACGGCCTCTATCAGCTCCTCACAACAATTTCCCGTTTAAGTACTCGAAAATGGCGTGTGATCAAGAGGAACCCAATAGTTTTCGGGAACTTTTCCATTCTCACACCAGCAGATTCTTGTATTATAAGAAGGGGTTCGACTATGTCTTTATGATCAAGAAGAAACCATGAAGAATAGAGCACTTCAGGTTTTTGTCCAACCAGCTCCTCCAGACAATTAGGGAACTGATAGCACTACATACATTTTTCTCCATTTTTTCTATTTGCTATAATACTGCTTGATCCTTTGCATTATAAAATTTATTTTTGTGTGGTATGATCTGCGCAATGTTGTTTAACAATTTATCCTAATTTGTGCCAATTCTATCATAGTATCTTCAAGGAAAAGTGAATAAAATATCTACGATTACTTCCACTATTCTTTCAAAGATTTTTGTTGTGTAGTTAAGTCAAAATTCCATTAACGAACTCAAAAAATTTAGAGGAAATTTTTTACAATTTATTTAGCATATTTAAAAATTATTTTATCAAAAATTAAATTTTATATAATTTAAGTTAAACCCAACACAATTAACTTTAAAAATTAATTAAAGTCAGTTTTTAGTGTTTAAATCATTGTTGAATCATTAAGGGCCTTTTCAGTATTGCACAAATCCTTGTCATTACAATTTAAACATTTTTTGTATTCTGAAGGGCACAAGCCACAATTTTGCTCCACTTTAATTTAAAAATAAAATTCCAGAGAAAATTCCAAATACTTTCTTATACCCTCAAGCAGATTTTAACATTTTTATTGGTTAAGTAAATGCTCAAATAATTATCCTAGCTAATTATTGTTTTAACACCTCGCTGGAAGGAGAAATTAACGAAGAGGAGTTTATTATTCGGAAATATTTTAGAAAATCAAATAATAACTTTTTGACGGATAATTATTTTTTAATCAGTAATTAGTTGGTAATTATTGAGGTGAGCAAGGGAGAGGGTAATTATTCGAGCATATGAGCATATACGATAATTATCTATGGGATACATTAAATTTCTATTGAGTATACATAATGACGGAGTCAGGAGAAATACTCGGAGGGGAAGGGGCAATGGTGAATTAAAATCTCAAGCGTCGTCCCTCGGGGACAGGAACAACCTTAGGCTATGGATTTTTAACTTGAGAATTAATTTTGACAAATACACCATTATAGTTAAACACAAAAACCCTAAAATAAATGCCATCTTGACAGACTAAAATATTTTGAGGCTAAAAGGAAAGAACCAAAGATTTAAATTAATACCTCTCCCAAATTTATCCTTAGCAATATAGCAATGAGTATGCATAGGGTGACATTTTTTCACTTTTTTCTTATAAAGCTTAGTTTTAGCAATGTTGTAGTGACACTTTATAGTTGGAAGTATATTTTTGTCGTTGCAATATGGGGTATTACATTTAGCACATTTTTCCAATTGAGAAGGGCAGGTACCACAGCCTTGCACAAAACCTATAAATAAATATGTCAAAATGTCTAATAAGGTCGAAATATAGTATAAGATACACCTCAATTTAAAATACGTTCATATAAATCTGAATGGCTATTGAGTATATGTACTCCTCATATGTATATGTACCCCTCATTATATGACGAAATTTCGGTGATATGGAGTATCGTACATTAAGGCCCGACTATTCAAGCTTTTTCATTCAAATATAAGTATAAAAATTTACCCATTTCAATCTGATCAACTCCAATAAAACACGATTCTCCACAAACCCTCCTCCCTTTGGTCGGTGTCCACTTTTTAACATCCTTTTCCCAACAAAACATTTGTTTCTCAAAATATGTATCAGCGTTACATGCTGGACTGTTGCTACATTCTGCACATTGCATTTTAGACATATCAAGATTTTTAAATTTATTTAGGAAAGTCGTTTCTTTAGTTGTGATGTATTGTGACAAATCGAGAATATCAGAGGGGCATTTTCCACAATCATAGTGATACTGTTGAATTTTCTCTTCTTAAATTTATTTTTGAGAACTTTTTATTATATGTTTTCATCCTTTAATCGAGAATTAACTCGATTTAAGTAAATGCGCAAAGCTGGGTCAAGAAAGATAAATCTGGGTCTTGTGGAAGGCAGAAGAGAGCTTACATCCCATCCATAATATGCACATAAATAAAATGATATTCTTCGTACTCGTAAGATTTGTTGGATTAATAATTTTACTTTAACATATTTTTAATCCGATACTATGTAGAATATCAGCCTTAATCTAAACAATAAAACACCTCCAATTTTCTCCTCAATTTTAGCAATATAACATATAGATTCACTACATTCTTTATAACTAGCCATAAATCCAAAGCAATAAAATGGCAATTTTGATTCTTCATTGCAACGATGAGTATTACATTCTTTACAAGTGAAAAAAGGACATATTCCACATCCTTTTTTGACTTTAAGTTTAAAAAAGGATTTTTATTTGATTATTTATTCAAAACCCTCATTTGATGGAGTTCTCCATAAATAACAAGGTGCATCAAAAAATGTTTTACATATCCCAGCATTATCGGTCAAGCAATGCTTGTATACTTTACTTTCCTCGTTGCAGTAAATTTCTTTGCATTCTTGACATTCGGTGGTGTCATTTGTTGGACAAGATCCACACCCTTGTGTTACTGTAAAAATAAGAAGTAGAGATCATTTGGGGATGGGTTTTGTGTATCACGGGTTTTATAATGTGAATCCCTATTCAGACATTTAAACCAAGATGTTAGGATATCTTGTTTTATTTTTCATTTTTTGTATATCAGAATCTGCCAACCGTGGTCATTTAAAATACAGATGACTGTGTACTGTGACTGTGTACCCAGGGTAATTATTCGAGCATATACGTTATCCTAAGCTTTCCTTTAATTGATAGCCATACCAGTAACTATTTCTGTTACTATTTAAATTTATAACTTAATTTAAACAACTACCATATCCTGTTGAATTATCTCTTGATACAAAACATTGCTCTTCGCATACACTCGCCCCCTTGACAAACATCGAATCGTTAAGAGAACTCTCCAAACAAAACAATTTTTCCTCTATAAACTTTTCTGTGTTGCATAATATCCCGTTATTGCAGTCCGCACATTGGAAGTCATCAATGTGATTTTCTTTTAACCTTTCCCCAAGTAGTTCGTCTAATGTGCTACTTAACGATGAACGTGTTTTTGGACATTTTCCACAATTTTGATAATATTCATTTTTATTATCTGAAAAATAATTTTACTACATATTATTAGTAGTAAAGATAGGGATTGTTGTTTCTACAGACCTTTTCTTTGGAACTTTTGTTGGTCATAGTGTAAAAGTTTAACTTTTAAACACTTTTTTCTTCGTCTACCCTTCCATTTCCTCCCATTTATTACATTTTTTATTCTTCAACTTTTTTCTTTTATTTTTACAACCTATTTACCTATATTTGTCACCTATTTTAGCATTTTATATAACTTATTTAGGTACCTATATTAAGGTTTTTACGACCCAAAATCCGACCCTACTCATTAAGGTATTTTTAATACCCTTCCATTTCCTCCCATTTATTACCTTTTTTATTCCTCAACTTCAAAATGTAGCAGTCAGGATCGCTACATTCACTAACACCATTTGCTCCTTGATTACTATAACAATAGTAAGGAGTATCCTTCCAATCATTACAAAGATGAGTTAAGCATTTCCTGCAAGCTTTAGTTTCACAGTTTCCACAGCCTTTCTTTGCTTTAATTTCTCAAAATTATTTTTAATTTGGAAAGATTTTTTACTTTCGTTTATCGAAATTCTTTCCATATGACAGGGGATATCAAAATCTGTTTTACAAATCTCTTTTTGATTTATCCAGCAATGTTTGGGAACAAGTCGTTCCTCGTTGCAATACTTTTCTGCGCAAGTTTTACAGTCAAAATTAGGGTCGTCACATTCACCGCAGCCAAAATTTACTTTAAAAGAATTTAAGGATTTAATTGACTAAGCTTAACTATGTTAGCGGAACGGGATGAAAACTATTCAAAAAATAGAAGCTTCCAGGACTTATCATTCTCTAATTCGAATTAGTATTTCTGGAACAGTTATCGGGTATTAACTGGACCGACTTTTAGGTCAGATGACTTTTTCAGGGATGGTAGAGGAGAGTCTGCCTTTGAGTGACAACCTCCTTCTTTGAGTGACCCAAGGCTTTTTTAATGCTCTCCTCCTACCCATTTATTAAAAATATTTTTTATTCTTACATTGCTCATTAATTGAATCACGAGATACAAAGCATTTGCTCTTGCAAACTCTTGCTCCTTTTACCATTCCCATTTTGTCAGTATTTGAATTCTCCCAGCAAAACAATTGTTCTTCAAAGAATGTTGGTGTATTACAAAACGGACGGTTCTTGCATTCTGCACATTGAATATCGCTTAGGGAATGGCTAGTGGAAGATGTTGGGCATTTTCCGCAGTTATATACAAAGGAACCTTGGTTGTTATCTGATAAAAGATGTTTGATCTACCTAAACACTAACTATGCCATCTACCTTTTGAAATATAACAATCAGGTTCAGGGCATTCCTTATCTCCATCAACACCTTTACAGAAATAAGGGAATTCTTTCTCAGAATTACAGCGATTATCTTTGCATTGTTTACATGTTGAAGGATTTGAACATTTACCACAGCCTTTGTTAACTTGAAACAAATTTTTTGTAAAAATCTTTAAAATGAGTTTAAAGACTTTGATTAATCAAAGTTCTCTCAGTAAAGCAAGGAGTATCATATTCAGTTTTGCATATTTCCTTATCATTTATCCAACACTGTTTGGGAACAAGTCGTTCCTCATTACAGTACCTCTCATTGCAGTTTACACAGTCTGCACTTTTAGAATTTGTTGGGCAAATCCCACAGCCTTGAGTTACTGAAAATTTATGATATTTAAAATTGCCATCAATAGATACAAGGGTTTGAGGCGAAGCAAGGCTCGAACATGAACCTCAGTTATAGGGATTTCAATAAATTTTTAAATGATCTCGTTCGATCACTTTCTGTGAGTTTTCTCGAAAGTTCGAGGTCGTGATTTGGGGTGATTTTCGTGGTTCGGAGTCCAACCCCAATTTCAGATTCTTTTTCTTTACTATTTAGTTTCAAACCTTTCCCAGTTTCATCTCTCGCTACAAAACATTGACTTTCACAATTTCTCAAATCACTAATTTGTGTTGCCATTTCAAGAGTCTTATTCCAACAAAACAAAGCATTATTGTAAAACTCTACAGTATTGCAAAAAGGACTATTGTTGCATTTTGCACATTTAAATGGATGGGTTTTGATATCTGGGCAATTTCCACAATTCCAATCATAATTGCCTATATTTAGTAGTTAGTTTTCAGTTTGTTAGTAAATCAGTGTTTTTTAAATAAATATTGTGATGTTTGGCTCATGAATAGGCAGAGTGTTACAGTAGTAAACCCCCCCCATACGCCCACATGTCGCATGTGAGATGGGGGCAGGGGGAAGGGGTTTTCTGCTCCCATCCGTCCCAGTGGGACCGATGGGTGTTGGGAAGGAAATGACCTTGACAACAGTACAAGCAATTCTGCGGCTTAATGACGGTGATCAAAGGGGAAAGGGGTAGAATTTTGCGCTATTAAATTTCTCTCATGTCCCACATGTTCCAGCTAGGTAAATTCGAAAGAACTGAAAAGGAAACCTATCTTTGCTTGTACAAGTACAAGCAAATTTGCGGGTGATTGAAGGTGATCAAAGGGGAAGGTGATGTAAGTTTCCGCCATTAAGTTTCTCTGATGTCCCACATGTACCAGTGGGATATTTCAGAAGAACTGGCGGTAAAACAAAAGGAAAACTTTTCTTGTACAAGTACAAGCAATTTTGAGGGTGGATATATGTGATCAAAGGGGAAAGTGTGGGTTCCAGCTAGTAATTGGCGGTAAGTCAAAAGGAAACCTATCAAAAGGAAACCGTTTCTTGTACAAGCAAATTTTGCGGCTGAATGTGGATGATCAAAGGGAAAGTGGGGGTAGTTAATTGTAACTAAGTTTCTCTGATGTCCCACATGTACCAGTGGGATATTTCAGAAGAACTGGCGGTAAGTCAAAAGAAAACCTATCAAAAGGAAACAATTTTCTTGTACAAGTTTCCGCTATTAATTTCTCCCTTTCCCACATGTACCAGTGGGAAATTTGGGAGAAACTTGCGGGAAAACAAAAGGAAACCTAATGATTTGACAAACCTTTGTCTCTGATGTGAGGGTACAAGTAAAGGAAAAGCAAAAAAAACATTAAACAAAAAATTAAAAAATAAGGGGAAAATAAATAAATTGACGTTTTTCCCTCTTCCAAGGTCATTTGCGGGAAAAATTAAAGAATAAACATTTAATTGTAAAATCTTTATTTTCTGCTTGTGGAAATTCTTCTAAAATTAAAAAATTAAAATTTCGTAAAGTTTTTCGAAATTTCGAGATAAAAATTTTAAAAATCTGAATAAAAATTGGAATTATAAGCAATTTAAATTTATTGGTTAAAAAATTATTTTTATTATTTTTCAATTTTTTTCGTTTAAAATAGTACGCAGATAAAGTAGTTAGATTAAATGGGCACTTTTAATCTAAATCCTGAATCTTTAATTTTTTATTTATTTTTACACATATTGAAAAAATATTTTTTTAAGTTCGATTTTTTAAATTTATTTTTTATTCAGAGAATTAAGAAGACAAGAGTAGACCTCAAATCTACAGATATCCATCTTAATCCCTTTAAATCGCCCGATATTAAGAGGTGATGTTTAGAGATTTGTAGACATATTTCCTGGTTACCCTCCAAATCTCCTGCTATCCACAAAATTTATTCCCCCAATTCCCCCAACAAAATTCCCCCTGTATTCCACCAATATGCCCAAATTCGTTTTTCTGCGCCGCAAGCGAAAATTTTCAAAAAATTTAAAGAAAATTAAGTAAGATGTCATCCATTTTCTGAACCGCAGGCGAAAATTTTGAAAAATGTTGGGGATCTCAGGCCTGAGGCGTGGAACTCCGGCCTGTGGTGTGGAGCTCCGGCCTGTGGTGTGGAGCTCCGGCCTGAGGTGTGGAGCTCCGGCCTAAGGTGTGGAGCTCCGGCCTCAGGTCTGGACCTCCGGCCTAAGGTTGGGAGCTCCTGCCAAAGGTGGGGAGCTCGGCCTACGGTTATTTCGCCGCAGGCAAAATTTTTGAGAACTTTGGATGCCTTCTTGCAAGTTTAACTGTTATAAAATAAAATTCACGTAAAGTTAAGCAATAGAAGATAAAATGATGTAATGATAAGAGATGTAATGAGTAGATTTTGAGAATGTTACTGTAAAGTTAATCACTAAAAGATACTATTGATGTAAACTTAAGAATTACAAAACAAAATTGATATAAAGTTAAGCAATAGAAGAAACAATTGATTTAATGATAAGAGATAAATGATGTAAGTTTTGGGGGTAGAAATGCAAACTTAAGCATTAGAAGCTACAATTGGTGTAAAGTTAAGCATTAAAAGATACAATTGTTCTAAACTTAAGGATTAAAAGTTAAAACTGGTGTAAAGTTAAGATAAATAGCAAGCATTTTTGGTAAAATTAATCAAAATAATTGGTGGACGCGAATCTTTGACGTATGCATTGCGTCTGTATGGGGAACGTAACAATATGCGGACTTCCATTGTTGTGGTAGTGCATGATTGTAGACACGACATTATCTTTTGTACGCATAATATAATGGCATAAAATTACGATATAGAGTAGAAACCTTATGTAAATTTAAGAGATAAAAGACACAATTAATTTTAAGTTAAGAATTGGAAGATAAGGTTGTTGAAAAGTTAAGAATTACTACGAATATTTAGATAGTAGCACCTTCTCTACCTCAATTTCTTGCATTGATATCCGTCATTGACTAGCAAAAATCCTGTAAGTCAGAAAATCATGAATCTCGACGTTTTTAAACGGGAAATTTTTCAAAAAATTCAATTTTTCTCAATGTGAATCTGTATCGGATGTGTGTCTTTATTCAAGCCTAATAAGTAGAGTTGTGAATTTTATGCATTAAAAAATGGAAAATATGCACTATAATATGCACATAAAAATATCAAAATATGCACGAAAATATGCAAGAAAACCAAAATATGCATGCAAATATGCAAGAAAAATACAAATTATACCTAGAAATTTCACATTTTTTAGTCGAAAACATTCAAAAACCTATTTTTATAACGATTACTCCCATTTTAAACGTATAGGTTGAGTATTTTTACGTTGTTGGACATTTTAGATGTGACGTTTTGGCGGTGTGACATTTTGGGGTGGGAAATTTTTGGGTTGAGACATTATGGGTCCTGGACATTTTTTGGGGCGCGCCCAAAAACAAAAAAAAATTTTTACAAAATTTGTAATTTTTACAAATTTTTCCAAAATTTTTACATAATTTTCCGAAATTTTTACAAAATTTTCACTTTTTGGCAGGATTTTGGACAATTTTCGCGATATTTTACCCAAAATCCTCAAAATATGCATTAAAATATGCATTATGCACCAAAGTCCGAAATATGCAAAAATATGCATTATATGCAAATAGAAACCCCCTCTAATGTTTTCAAAACATGCGGAAACAGTGTTTTTTGTGCATTATACGTCAAGACAAGTTTGCAAAAAAAATATGCATTTGCATAAAAATCACAACTCTACTAATAAGTTTATGGGTAGGACAGTGAGTATAGCAATTTGTCACAGTGAGTTAGCAAATTGTTTCCGTAAGTAAATATATCCTGATAACTTAGGAGATTAT